AAGTGTATAACTATTACTCAATTTCCCAGGGACTCTTATCAAGGTCTTTAATTAAACTTAGCTGACAACCTATTTTGTCTACCTTAATTTTCTTTTCCCAGTCTCAGAATCTCCTTTCTCTCTCTGAACGTCTGAGTCAGGTAGTGTGTTCTCATGCTGCAGTCATTCGCCTCCTGATTCTACTTAAAGAAATTTGAATTTTCAAAGAATTTACATATCTTTAGGAGCCCGAGACTTTCTAATTTCATTATCTCTTGTTAGCAATTTTCCACCCTGCTGAGTCCAATACTAACTTCCTTTTATTTTCTTAACCTATTTAACCTCTTCTTTCACTCCATAGGCAACTTCAATACTAAGAGAAAAGAGAAACAACTACCCGTATTTTAATCCACAGTGCTGATGGGAAACTATTAGAATCTGTAGACATCCTTTCACCATCAAAATAGACATGCCATTTTGAGGATCCATTTTATTTTGCCTTCTCTTACTGCAAGGTACAAATTGGCCGGGACAACACAACAAACATCTTTCAACACCAGCAATGTTTAAACCCTTCATAGCAACATCAACTTGCCCTTGTTATTGTAGGCAACAATAAAAAAATAATACTAACATTGGTAAGACAGTTACTCTAAAACTGTTATAACAGATAACAGAGTTTAATATTTTGTTATTTGTCACTTAGGCCTGGGATCTTGTTTACTTCAATAACACATTTGGGTTTTTTTCTTTAAAAAAAAAGTTTAAACTCATTATTGTGATATGGAATACTAAAGAACTATTTTGATGTAAATTGAAGTTCAAAGTTCTTTTTTAAACAAGAAACATTATAATTTCAAATAATAAAAGCCTTTTAATAAGATAACTAAAAAAAATCAATTTTTGACAGGTAAAAATATTAAATTCTATACATCTGAGCATAGTAGTGAACAGATAGGTGCTTTTTTAAGATATAGTAATTTTTATATAAATTTTTGTGGTTCAAGCAAGTAAGCTGGGTGTGCTTTTAACTTTACAGGAAATCCATGATACTGTGATATGATAACATCTGGGGGGGAAACTTGACCAGATGAAATAATTATAAAATGATATAAAAAATATTGAAATAGCTTCTATACTTCTCTAGATACTTAGGTATCTTTATATTAATTTTAAAAACGTTTAAGGATTTACAAGTTATCATGCATTATAAATGTTAATTGTTGATGCTAAGATTTTAATAGCTACTTTAGCAAGAACATTACAGAAAATGTTAACTACATCCTGCATAAATGAGCCTCGTGAAAGGATGTCACCATTCAGATAATATTAATATGAACTAGATTTTAAAACAATATATATGGAATTAGATATACTTTAGCTGTGCTAATTATCAATTTCCTGGGATTTTAATAGGTTTTTTTTTCCTAGCTCTTTTCCATTGTCTAGTGAATTTTTTTCTTTTTCTTTTTGTTCCCCTCAATAGCTTAACATAATTTTTGCTTTTTTCACTTCACTATATGAAAGGTTGGTCTAGTAGTCTTGGCACTGAGCTAAAAATTGGAAGATTGTGAGTTCTAGTCTGGCCTGAGGTACACACCTAGCCGGATGACCTTGAGCCACTAACCACTAGGAAGAAAGTAAATAGTAAAGTGTTTCCAAATTTTTATCAATCAAACTGCAGGGAATAGGCCAGGCAGTCCCCAGGAGTCAACAACGATTCAAAGACACGCTCTGTCTGTATATTTATCATCTATCTGTCTATCTATCTGTCTATCTATCTATCTATCTATCATCTGCTGGTATCTACTTATCTATCTAAAGGTGAAACTCAAAAAATTAGAATATCGTGCAAAAGTTCATTTATTTCAGTAATGCAACCTAAAAGGTGAAACTAATATGAGATAGACTCATTACATGCAAAACAAGATAGTTCAAGCCGTGATGTGTCATAATTGTGATGATGATGGCTTACAGCTCATGAAAACCCCAAATCCACAATCTCAGAAAATTAGAATATTACATGCAATCAATAAAACAAGGATTGTACATAGAACAATATCGGACCTCTGAAAAGTATAAGCATGCAGATGTAGTCAGTACTTGGTTTGGGCCCCTTTTGCAGCAATTACTGCGTCAATGCGGTGTGGCATGGAAGCTCTCAGCCTGAGGTGTTATGGAAGACCAGGATGCTTCAATAGTGGCCTTCAGCTCTTCTGCATTGTTCGGTCTCATGTCTCTCATCTTTCTCTTGGCAATGTCCCATAGATTCTCTATGGGGTTCAGGTCAGGCGAGTTTGCTGGCCAATCAAGCACAGTAATCACACGGTCATTGAACCAGGTTTTGGTGCTTTTGGCAGTGTGGGCAGGTGCCAAGTCCTGCTGGAAAATGAAGTCAGCATCCCCATAAAGCTCATTTGCAGAAGGAAGCATGAAGTGCTCCAAAATCTCCTGGTAGACGGCTGCGTTGACCCTGGACTTAATGAAGCACAGTGGACCAACACCAGATGATGACATGGCTCCCCAAATTAACACAGACTGTGGAAACTTCACACTGGACTTCAAACACCTTGCAGTGTGTGCCTCTCCATAGTTCCTCCAGACTCTGGGTCCTTGGTTTCCAAATGAGATGCAAAAGTTGCTCCCATCAGGACTTTGGACCACTGAGCAACAGACCAGTTTTGTTTTTCTTTAGCCCAGGTAAGACGCTTCTGATGTTGTTTGTTGTTCAGGAGCGGCTTGACAAGAGGAATATGCCATTTGAAGCCCATGTCCAAGGATCTGTCTGTGTGTAGTGGCTCTTGATGGACTGACTCCAGCCTCAGTCCACTCCTTGTGAAAGTCCCCAACACTTTTGAATGGCCTTTTCCTGACAATCCTCTCCAGGCTGCGGTCATCCCTGCTGCTTGTGCACCTTTTTCTTCCACACTTTCCCCTTCCACATAACTTTCTCTTAATGTGCTTTGATACAGCACTTTGGGAACATCCAACGTCTTTTGCAATTACCTTTTGAGGCTTTCCCTCCTTATGGAGGGTGTCAGTGATGGTTTTCTGCACAATTGTCAGGTCAGCAGTCTTTCCCATGATTGTGATTCCTACTGAACCAGACTGAGAGACCATTTAAAGGCTCAGGAACCCTTTGCAGGTATTATGGCTTCATTAGCTGATTAGAGTGGGACACTTTGAGCCTAGAATATTGAACCTTTTCACAATATTCTACTTTTCTGAGATTGTGGATTTGCGGTTTTCATGAGCTGTAAGCCATCATCATCTCAATTATGACACATCACGGCTTGACCTATCTTCCTTTGCATGTAATGAGTCTATCTCATGTATTAGTTTCACCTTTTAAGTTGCATTACTGAAATAAGTGAACTTTTGCACGATATTCTAATTTTTCGATTTTCACCTGTATAATAACATTGGTACTTAGTGCATATATAATATTGCAAACCAATGTCTTTTAAAAATAAGTTAATAAGTAATGTGTCAGAAGTTTGATGAAAGTATTTTTTAAAAACGCTTCTTTCTTTTCCTTCACAGCAGAGTAGATTAAGATAAAGTAAACATCTAATTCTATGTGGAAGGGCCCAGGAATAAGTAGATGCTGATTCATCACATGACAGCAGGAGGAGCTAGAAGACTGCGACAAAGATGAACTGGGTGGTGGAATGCAGGGCAGCAGGGAGCCAAAATGGCATAAATGCGGGTAGATAGCCAGATTGAGGGAGTTGCAGGACCCTTGCGGCCATAAGTGCAGGTGGGCTACCAGGCACCCAAATGTGATCATGTGAACAGCCGTAACTTCGCGCACAGGTGCTGCAACAGCTCTGTACCTGTGCTATAGGTGTTAAGTTACTTTGGTATAAAATCTTATACCATTTCAATTTTCAGCAAATGAAAATGACAGACATTTTATTTTAAATATGCAATTGGTACTTCAGCTCGTTCCATTACATTCTGAATGTGCAAGTAGTCCTTGACTTACAACCATTTCCTTATCACCCCTCCCAGTCGACTGTTTCCTAGTATGATTTGATTGTGGATTGTACCCTATGACTATCATTAAGTGTTGTACGTTATGATTCTTGATTCTTAACGGATGTACCTTTTCTTTATGTATACTGAGAGTATTTACACCAAGACAAATTCCTTGTTTGTCCAATCACGTGTGGCCAATAAAGAAGTCTATTCTATTTATTCTATTCCATTCCATTCCATTCCATTCCATTCTAGTGACTGTTCAAAGTTAAAACAACACTGACTGAAGATCAGTTTTCATACATACAACCATTGAGAATCTCCACGGTCATGTAATAAAAATTCAGGTGCTTGCCAACTGGCATGTATTTATGACTGTCCTCGGGTCAGATAATTGTCTCTGTAACTGTCCCAGCCAGCTTCTGACAAGCAAATTCAATGGGGGAAGTCAGGTTTGCTTAATGGCTGCATGATTCACTTAACAACTGCAATGATTTTCTTAACAATTGTGGCATGAAAGTGTTATAAAATGAGGCACAACCCACTTAACAATTGTCTTGCTTATCAAGGAAAGTTGGTCATAAGTCATAACTGACTTATGCTGTGGTCATAAGCCAGGGACTACCTGTATACTCTTGCTTAAATAACACTAACTTTTGTTACAGAGCACAGTTGCTGAACTGTAACATATAGCTGCTGCTTGAGAATGAAAACTGAAAAATTTATAAATAGAATACTTAAAGGGTGTGTTCCACTATTTTATATATGTAAGCATTGTATATTTAAATTATGAGATTTTTAACAATGAAAGATGCCACACAGGCAATCAAAAATAACAACAGCACAACAAATGAAATGCTAACAATGATGATGCCACAAGAATTTACATTTGTGACTTAAATTCAAACTAAAATATATACTATGAAGTAGAACAATAGGGATATGACACAAATTTGCAACAAGCCAGAATTAAGACATTAGTCACACACCAAACTTGGGAAAAATAAACATTAAAGGACTATACACATAGGTTACAATACCTGCTGTTTAGTGCATTCCTGTGAGCCAAAATGAAATGAATGCCATGTAGGAGGAAAGGAAAAGATGAACATAATCAGATATAACAAAACATATACTATTATGAGCTACTGCTATTATGTAAGGAAGTTTTTAAAATGGATTTTCCCTAGGCAACTTAGTCAATTTAATATAAAATGTTATATATTAGTAATTTAATATAAACTAGTATTGCTAAAACTTATCAATTTTCTTTCATAGATTTCATCTATATAGATTCCTTTCTATAGGTTATTTCTTTTAGCCTTTAAAACATAATTCAGTGAGCATGTGCAATTTCAGCAAATCTTTGTTTTATAAATCAAGTAAAGGATATTGCATCAAGAAACCAAACATGCAAATCATGTTTTATTTTACAGCCTGATTTGCTGCCTTTACAGTGAAGGACAAAAAAAAACCCTGCATAATGAAGCATTAAATTTAGAATGAGCACATATGAGAACCACAGCCAAAATGCATCTCTGCCTGCTCCTACCATGTATATGAGCAAATGTGAGAAATGTATCGATGTTTCTGCTTTATACTTTTTAAAACATATTAAAAAGCATCCCATCTTTAAGGTATTGAGTTCAAATGTAAGAATTCATAAAATCATATAGAAAGTCACCAATCCTTTCCCTGAGAAGTATTCTATTATATAAACAAAATAAATAATCAGGGTTATTCAACAAGATTCACAAAACAGCAAGAAAAAACTATTTGATAGCAAACATTTACAGGCCAGCAATAATTATAAACTGAAAATGGCTACACATAAAGGAATAAACATTCTTGAAAAAGTTGTTCTCCAATACTTTAGAATCAGAGAGAGCACTTGAAGGTACCAAAAGATTCAAAAGATTCTCTATTTTCTGCATTATATAAATGAATGAATTCTTTATTGGCCAAGTGTGATTAGACACACAAGGAATTTGCACTGGTGTATATGCTCTCAGTATACATAAAAAGAAAAGATACATTCGTCAAGAATGATAAGGGACAACACTTTATATAGTCATAGGGTATAAATAAGCAATCAAACCATACTAGGAAACAGTCAATATAAATCGTAAGGATACAAGCAACAAAATTATGGTCATACAGTCACAAGTGGAGGGGATGGGTGACAGGAGTGATGAGAAGATTAATAGTGATAGTAATGCAGACTTAGTAAATAGTTGGACAGTGTTGAGGGAATTATTTGTTTAGCAGAGTGATGGCATTCGGGGAAAATGTTCTTGTATCTAGTTGTTTTGGTGTGCAATGCTCTATAGCAGTGGTTCTTAACCTGGGTGATTTTGTTTTTCAGGGGGGCAATGGAACGAAAAGGGGCGATGTGGGGGTGAAGGAATGGGAGTGATATGGGGACGATGGAGCGAGTAGTTTTGGGGACACTTGAGACTTTTTTCGTACAGTGAACAGCTGTATATCTGTCGTACAAAAACATCAGATCGCTCGCTATTAGTGGATTGAACTGTGTTTTAAAATGTTCTGTAAAAATTTTTTGTGTCTTTTTAAACCCTTTTTACAGTGTGCATGAATATATATTTTCCTCGAATCTTAATTTAGTTTCAGAGTTTTCGTCTTGAAATTCTTAGTTCCTGCACTGCGGTTTGTTCTTATACCTTTCTTATATTTCTTTTTGCATCTTAAAATTCACTTGTAATTAAATCATTGAATGTTACTGGGTTTTTTCGGGCATTCGATTTTCTTGCAGTTGAATTTTGTTTTCAGTGGTCACTGCATTTAAGTGTCTTGAATAAATAAGATAATAATGAAATACTTGTATGAAGAAGTTTGGGAGTAAAGTGATGGGTGGCATCAGAATTTTTCACTCAGTTGAGATATGGGGAAAAGACTGGAAATAAATTATTTGCATCGATATGTCCTGATGACAATTTTAAAGAAAACAAAAAACCTTGTTTGCATAAATTGAAGAATTATTTCCTTGTGTTCTGATTGAGAAGTTATGTTGGGGGAGGGCGGGCGATGATAACTTCCTGAATGGCTCAAGGGGGAGATTCTTTCAAAAAGGTTAAGAACCGCTGCTCTATAGCATCATTTTGAGGGAAGGAGTTGAAACAGTTTATGTCCAGGATGTGAGGGGTCTGTAGATATTTTCCCAGCCCTCTTTTTGACTCCTGCGTTATACAGGTCCTCCATGGAAGGCACGTTGGTAGTAATTGTTTTTTCTGCAGTCCTAATTATCCATTGAAATCTGTGTCTGTCTTGTTGGGTTGCAGAACCAAACCAGACAGTTATAGAAGTGCAGATGACAGACTCAATAATTCCTCTGTAGAACTGGATCAGCAGCTCCTTGGGCAGTTTGAGCTTTCTGAGTTGGCGCAGAAAGAACATTCTTTGTTGTGCTTTTTTGATGATGTTTTTGATGTTAGGTGTCCATTTTAGGTCTTAAGATATGATGGAATCTAGAAATTCGAAGGTCTCTACTGTTGATACTGTACTGTCTAGTATTGTAAGAGGTGGTAGTATGGGAAGGTTTCTCTAAAGTCTACCACCATTTCTACAGTTTTGAGTGTGTTCACTTCCAGACTGTTCCAGTCGCATCATGTGGCTAGTTGTTCAACCTCCCGTCTGTATGCGGATTCATCGTTGCCTCAGATGAGACCTGTCACTGTTGTATCATCTGCAAACTTCAATATTTTAACATATGGATCGTTTGAGATGCAGTCATTGGTATATAGGGAGAAGAGCACACAGCCTTGGGGGGGCCCTGTGCTGATTATACAGGTATTGGATGTGATTCTGCCTAGCTTCACCTGCTGCTTCCGGTCTGTTAGGAAGCTTATGATCCACTTACAAGTGTGTTCAGGTACTGCTAGCTGGTTTAGTTTAGTTAAAAGAATGTCTGGAATGATGGTATTGAATGCTGAACTAAAGTCTACAAAGAGGACTCTTGCATAGGTCTTTGACTCTCCATGTAGTATGTAGTGTAGAGCCATATTAACAGCATCACCTGTCGATCTAGTTGCTCAGTATGCAAACTGCAGCAGGTCTAGCAGCAGGTCCATGATGATTTTCAGGTGGGACAGCACTAGCCTTTCAAAGGTTTTCATAACTACAAATGTTAGAGCAACTGGTCTGTAGTCATTCAGTTCCTTGATGGAGGGTTTCTTTGGCACTGGGATGATAGTAGAACATTTGAAGGAGGAAGGAAGGAAATCTCTAGTGATTTACTGAAGATTCGGGTGAAAATGGGGGTCAATTGTTGGGCACAGACTTTTAAGCAAGGAGGAGTTATCTTGTCAGGCCCTGGTGCTTTTCCTGGCTTTTGTCTGTGGAATAGATCTTGCACTTCTTTTTCTGTAAACACCAGAGGTTGTAAACGCAATGGGTTGGGGTCAGTTGTGGAAGGTTTGGCTCTTGGTGGTGTGGTCTGAGATGGGGTCAGTTGACTAAAGGAATCCCTAGTGTTTTATTGAAGATTAATGAAGATTATAATGAAGATTATTTTACTGTATCAAAATTACAAAATTAATCAAAAGACTTTTTCCTCTCATAAAATGTCATGTCTTCCCAAGATAATTCTCCTTTATGTAACTTTCAAGTCTGATTCTTCATGTTATTATGTAGTGAAAATAGTTATCAAATTCTCTATTGGTACAAAATGAAATGCCTAGTATTGTAATTGAGAATAAAAAGAAGTTAATACTATGCAACTGATGTTACACAATTAACCCATGGACTAACTCAAAGTGTTAGTCTTAAAATTAATACTTGCACAGTGAGTATGTCCAACTTTATTATTCTCAGTTCTTATTCTATGTTCTACAAAAATCTTCAACTCTTCAGTAGTAATTATCTCCCCAGGATCCCATTTGCAAATCAGAAGTTAAAATGGCTCTGCTATTTGAGCCCATCTATTTGTCAGGAAACCATTAGGCTTTCAAGAAGCAAGAGCCACAAGCCAGAGCCTCTTTCTAGAACAAGGAAAATTTCTTCTCTCTTGTTTTTATGTAGAATTTTTAAATAAAATTACATTTTTGAGAAATATAAATTTTGTTTAGTGTGTACCATCTCAAGCTTTTAAAAAAGCAGCATATTTAAACATAACAAACAAACAAAAATACTCTACTTAGCATTAATGTTGTGACCAAAGATATTTATAATGCCACACTCAATGTATATGTACTTCACTTATTTCCTCATATAATTTGCTCCAGAAACCTACTTTCATAATGAAAAATGGCAGTATAAGCTATCGCATCATTCTTGTACTATGGAATGCTGACACTAAGACTCTGGTATTTCAAAATACAAATACTTTTAAACAATAGACAAATATTATAACATTAAACTAAAATATGACTTCTTCAGCTAGAGTACCCAAATCATTGGCAAACTAATTAGGCAACATAATGCTCTCTCAGATGATAAAGATTTGGTTCTGATTTGTTAAATGATGTAACATTATGTCAGCATACCAGTGGAAGATACACAGTCTGGTTTAATATGTTGAAAAGAGACAAAGTAAAATTGAGCTTACCTAGATAACACATCACAAATTTGCTCTTTGGAATGAGGTAACAATAATTCATTGATATGAATCTTCAGACATAGAGTTAATGTAAAATGTACTTTAAATATCCATCACATAAAAATGCATTCTGCACATAATAATTACTTATTATAAAAGCAAGGCAACTTCTATACAGGGAATAATTTGATCATATCTGTTTTCACAGTAGAAAAAAGTTAATGATTAGCAATTTTATAGTCTAATTCTCATACTGTAACATACACTATACAAATATTGACAGCTTACCGTATGATAACCTCTAGGTAAGGGTGGCTTCCCTACAGGATAAGCATCAACAGTATCAATAATTGTTTGTCTTTCTCCTTTTTGGTTGATTTTTCTAAATCTCCTTCTCGATTGTCTATGTGAAGCTTGTCGCTGGAAATACTCTTCATTTTCATCCATGTAATCCACCTAATAAATAAGCAAATATAATAATGTATTTTCAATGTATTTTAAGCAACATTACCAGATGGTCTCTAATGCATTGGCAAAGATTTGTTTTATTCTGAGGATATGAAATCATAGTTTACTACCTACAAATTTTATATTTTAAATAGTGAATTCAACTGCTTTAAAAGAAAATGAATTTTAGATGTTATTTCTATCCTGGATCTCACCTACAGTTGTTACATTTTACAAATGTATTTTAACTCTGTCTTAAATTTTATTGTGTTTATTATCTGTATTAGTCTTTGGCCAGTAGGTTACCTTCATCCGGCTCCCATGAGAAGTCACCCACAAGCATGACCAACGCCACTGAAGTACCAAACCCTGCTCTAACCCTGACTGAACGGAGTCTAGATAATTTGCTTTATCCAGACTTCTCGGAAGCTGCCATGCAACGCTCTTTACCAACTTCCCTAGAAAGGAGAGGTTAGACAAAAATTGTCCAGGCTAGCTGGGTTGAATAATGGTCCTTTGAGGAAGGGACGCACCACGACCTCGTTAAGAACTGACAGGACCATTTTCTCTCTTCAGGAGGAGTTAACTATTGGCCAGATTCCCTCATCCATCCCCTCCTGAGAGGCTTCATTAACCAGGAGGGGCACAGATCTAACCCACAGGTGGCTGAGAGAGCCCTACCCATTTCCTCAGGTTCAACAGGCTCACACTTGTCCCAGATCACCTTGCAAGATGTAGTTCCCATCACCTCCATAGACTCTGCCCTAAGGGTCCAATGTAGAGCAAATGCAACCAATTTTATCTGCCAGGTGCTCAGCATATTCTTCACAGCAATCTTTTAGGTATATTTCAGCGTTGCTCCCTCCAAGTAGGGAACAAGTCACCTGGAAGAGGCAGCTATCAGCAAACACAAAAAGGGAAGAGAAGTAGCTCCTAGTAGTATTCACAACCCTTCTTGCTATGAGTTAGGCATTCATAGCGGCTCTAGCTCTTGTCCAATTGTCTTCGGTCCTTGTGTTTCTCCAGAGATGGTCTAGATGCCCCTTAATCCACTTAGGTTCCCTTAATTCCATTGTGTACCATGGGGTAACATCAGGAATCCTGGGTGTGGAGACACTACTAAGGCACAATCTGATCTAAAGCTACTGTCACTGTTTTTTCCACACAGTCACCAAAGCTTCAATCACACCGAGTAGCGGGCTTTCCAAAATAACCCCATGTTCCACCTGGAATCCAGTTGGGTCCATTAAGCACCTGGGATGGGCTGATCCAATAGGTTCAGCCTCCCTGTGGATGGAAGTGGCACCTGAGAAATTGAGGATCAACCGTGAGTGGTCTGCCCTTGGCACAAGAGAAATCAAAATCTCCTCCAATTCCAGAGCACTCTGGCATTGCTCTGACAGAAAAACCAGATGTATTAGTGCTACTATGAACTTGCTGCCCTTTTGGACTAGGCTTCAAACAGTAATACAATATTCGTGTAAAATAGTTTCCTTTAAATCTTTGCTGTTACCAAGTTCTTCACTGATACTTCTATGTAGCTTTCTTGACAACATTACTGAAGTAGTTTGCTATTGCCTTCTTCAAGGTGGCTGTTGCTGTTTTTTCAACACCCCAATTCAGCCTGGGATTTCATGATATTCCCACCCAAATACTAAGTTCAAACTTGTTTACTCAAACACTGTTAAAATAAGCAAATTAAACCCTGCATTGTTGGCATTTGTGAAGTGGCCTGACCTACTTTGTAGCTCTCATTTCTCCTAAAGTGTGAAGCAGAGGTGGGCTGCTGGGGGTTCGCGGGGGTTCGAGAGACCCTCTAGCTAAGATTCTACACAGTTCAGAGAACCCCCAAATCCCACTCTCGTCTGGCCCCGCCCACCCCGCCCCTCCCAACATGGCCCGTTCTGAATGCAGGCAAGTGCAGGGCGCGCACAGAGACTTGGGGAGGGCAAAAAACGGGCATCCTGGAAGTTCGGGAAGGCTGGAAACAGGCCCATTTCCGGCTTCCAGAGAGCCTCTGGAGCCCAGGGAGGCCGTTTTCGCCCACCCAGAGGCTCGAGGAAAACCTCCAGAGCCCAGGGAATGCAAAAACACCACCCCGCTGAGGTGCAGGAGGCTGACTAGGCCACGCCCACCATGGCCACGCCCACCCAGCAACCAGGCAGAGAACCCATTGCTCAAATTTTTGAATGGTTTGAAGAGATATATTGGTCACAAGCTCAGCCAAACTAGGAACTGAAATTCGTTGTCACTTCTAAACTGTGTGGAAATAAGGAAAGATGAAGGAACTTAAATTTATGCAAAACAAGATGGGATCTATTTAAATTAAGGAAATTATAAAATAAATTAAAACAACAAAAAGTACTGCTCCGATTTATTTTTCCCCACACTTTTGAAATCATTCTTTATTGGGGCTGGGGTTAAAACCTACAAAGCAAACAGTTAAAGTTTTTTGTTTTCCTATGGACAAAAACTTTCTTTATCAGATGTTCCAAGTCACTAAAAAAATTAAGATTGTAGACAGTCTCCCTATTGCTAGCAGAGGTATTTTGGCGAATAATAACTACAATATAGCAAAATGACTTTTTACAGGCATTAATCTAGCTATACTTACCACAATCATTTCAGATGGTTCTAGAACAATGCATTCACAGCCACGCCTGAAGCTTCCTGCAGAGCGTTTCCCAAAACTAAAGGAGAGAAAAAACATTTAGAAAAAAAAACTGAAAAATCAAAGAAACTTCTAAACAAATTAAGGCTATAACAACTGTTAGCTGATATCATTGCTAATAGCAATAACACTTACTTATATACTGCTTTACAGTGCATTACAGCTCTCTCTAATGGGGGGGGGGGGTGAGGTGTGTAAAATTTACCATTAATACCCCACATTTAAATAATGAGTTCAACTATTCTAAATGGATTATGTTACCACTTATAATGCTGTTACCCAGACTTTTTTATTCTTTGGTTGAGCTGAAGGTTGACTGCAGAACAGATAGCAACCACCTTCTATTAATCCTGTTCCTAAATAATCACAGTAACAACCATATATTTAGAAGATGATTTGGGAGCAGTTTATTTAAACTAATCAAGTTTTTCTTAGGGTGGACTGATTTGCAGGCTTTCTGGAGCAGTCTCTCTCTTTAGACTCCACTTTTTCTTTACAGTTACCAGCTGGCAAGAACACTTTGAATTTGACATCTACCTCCAAAGGTATTTTATATGGAATAATGTGTGACAGTTAAAATAACTATTTGTTCCTAATTATATACTGTACAAGGTTTATAATATCCCAATATTCTAGACCAGGAGTGTCAAACTCACAGCCTGTCGGATGGATGTATTATGCGCTGGCCATGCCCACTCCTGGTTTAGCGAAGGGGGGGAGTTGTGATCTGTCATGTGACGACATGAGTTTGACACCCCTGTTCTAGATAATTTGTCCCTTATCATCACAATGATCTCACTTGGACAAAAAAATAAAACAGGGAATTGTTGCTCAAAGAACACTAGGAAATCACTGATTAAAGGTTCAATGAATAAGGATATGGTCAGATTTTCTTCATTGTGGGTTTCTAAGGAAAAGGAAATAGACTGAATTGTTATAACCTAGCAAATTATTAGAAAACATATTTTAAATCATTGTCAGGCCATCAGTTTATCTTTTAATTTTTAAATTTTTATTTATTAAAATAGTGAAATATACAGGAATTACTCTTTAGTAGGAATATAAAATAGTGATTATAAAGTTAAGAAAACATTAGGCATAATAGAAATATCAATATAAATATAAATTCCTAGCTATGGGCTCCAATTCTAGTAGCTTTTTCTCTTTGCTATTTATGCTTAAAATGCCAATTAGCAACTAAAATCCATTTGATCTGTTCAAGCATTGGCCAATAAAGTAGCTCTATTATTTTAATAAAACAATACAAATAAAAGTATTATAGAGGACACTTAGTGGTAGATGTCACCCCAAACTTGTGTCTTCTATTTCTCATCCAACTCCTCATCAACAGTAGTTTGACTAAACTTGGTAGATGTATTTACTTTTGCTATTATGTACAGATAATGCAGCAATTCTTTGCTCATGCCGGATGATTTAATAGAGGACTTTGGTCTTTCATCTCCTATGGCTATACTACAAAACTTATCATTACAAGTAGTTCTTTACTTACAACCATAATTGAGCCTTGCAATTACGGTTGTATGTCATGATGACTGCAAAGCAGATCATCACTTAACCAACTTGATTTTGCAACCTTTTTCTGGTGATCCCTAAAGCAAATACCACAGTTGTAAAGCAAATGCTGCACTTGTTAAGTATACCCATTGTTCAATGTAGGTCAGTTTTTGCTAGGAATTGGAAATAAATGCCAGTTTCCAGCAAAAATGCCATATTACAGTAGGTTGCAACAACAGCTGTACATGTGAGCCAGTTGTTGAGCATCCAAAATACAGTCATATGATTGAGGGAATGGCATCTGAACCAGGTTATAAGTAGCTTTGGGGGGGCTTAGTCATAACTTCAAACGTTTGTTAATTTTATCCATTCATTCATCTATCCATCCAATTTACATATCATCAAATCAATACTCACAGCCATTCACAGCAACCCAGTAAAAGGATACAGTCAATTAAAATGCCCATAGAATCATAAAATCCAAATTACAAATGCATAATTTTAATAAGTATAAATAACACAACCAAAGTACTAGACAAAAATTGAATTTAACATTTGCATTGAATTTAACACTCTGCTCTTAGAAAACACCATAATCTTGAGTTCTCTAAAACATCTCACAGTAGTTTAATGTCAGCAAAGTAGGCTATTCTAGCAAAAATGAATTATAAATTTGTAAAAGCTTCAGTTCATTGGAGAAGATGCAGTTTAATTTGCCTGTAATCCCATTTACTGAATTCAATCAACTAAGGCATTAGCATTCTTCTCAGTAGGGTTAATAGCTACTAGAGGATAATTTTCATTTTCTTAAAGGAGACCTGGGGAGAGGAAATATCTAGCCTAACAATGTAATCCAGAGTTTAGTGTAAAGTATTTATGGAGTTCCATAAAGGCACCAGGTCTGAGATACTGATCTTCAGAAAGGCTTGATGGTTTTCAAACAGGACAATAACATGAACTATTCAATTACAACAGATTATACCAAATACCTGGATCCAGTGAGCCATTTTTCCAAAACAACCTCATGAGATATTTCACTTCATTCTTAGAACACAAAGTCAACTATTTGAGATAAAGTTGCTGAAACCAATGTGAATAAATACTCATTATCAAAGGAACTGAATATTAAGTGTAAAAAGATGAGCTTAGATATTTTTCTATTTATATTGTGATTACTCCGGTCAATCAGACTAGAAACATACTTTAACTATATACAATGGAAATACAGAAGAAAGAAATGCCACCACCTAATTCTGCAGCAGGAAGTTAATACATTTCATCTCTCCTTATGTAGATCTGGCAACAGCTAGTGATTAAAGCATCCTGGGCAGGTCAAGGAATTTCTCAAGATTGCAGTCTTCCACTTCATAATAACTCTTCATAATAACAAGCACTATAATTTTGACTCAATTTTATGAATACTCCATAAAGGAGTATAAACATCAGATAAAACTGCTTGAAGACTAAGTCAAGACCACAGACTGTTAATAATTAGTCTTCCTTACCCTTAGCAAAAGGCTATGCATGCATAAAGGCTATGTGTGCTTTTGTGTTAATATAGGTTCATAGTTCGTCTCATAACTCAATTCAGTCTACAAGGACAATGTCACAATGGGGTTGCAAGTCAAAATGTACATCATTCAAAATTATGCTGCATTTCAGAATTCTTTTAAAAACAATGCTTACAACAGCAAATAACAGCATTCCAAACTTTCCAGAAAATTAATTAATTTTATATAGCTTTCTGTCTTATATCCGTGAATCTGGAAGCCTCACAAAACTATACAACAAAAGCAATACTCAATTACAAATAAACAACTAAAATAAAACCATTAAAACCAGTGGTGGGATTCAACCGGTGTAACTACCAGTTCGCTAATTACGTTTTGCGCATGCATGCATGGGTTTGTCTGCATGTAAGGAAGAACTGTTGCAGGACTTGTGCCAAAAATGTAACTACAATGTCCTGTGTATATAGGAGACCCACAGAGACAACCATCATAGAAGACCTAAAATTTAGAGCATGTAGCTTGTAGTAGAGAGACCCCACTGAAAGTATGGCAGTGCAGTTTATGTGAAGCCTGGTATCCAGGTTCAGTCCACAACAACATCAGAAATAAATAACATAGAAGTAATAACTGTAGAGCCAAGAAACTGTATGGTCAGAGTATAAACCATCATTAACTGAGTTCAAGTGTGACAAATTTAATACATTTTATTTATTAATATTTACAGACCCCTCACATCCCGGACAAAACTGTTTCAATTCCTACTCTCAAAACGATGCTATAGAGCACTGCACACCAGAACAACTAGACACTAAAACAGTTTTTTCCAGAATGCCATTACTCTGGTAAACAAATAATTCCCTCAACACTGTCCAACTATTTACAAAGTCTGCACTACTATTACTGTTAATCTTCTCATTACTCCTTATCATCCATCCCCTGTATGACTATAACTTTGTTGCTTGTATCCTTACGATTTATATTTACTGTTTCCCAGTATGATTTGATTGTTTATTGTACCCTATAACTATTATTAAGTGTTGTACCCTAGGATTCTTGACTCTTGATGACTGTATCTTTTCTTTTATGTACGCTGAGACTATTTGCACCAAGACAACTTCCTTCTGTGTCCAATCACACTTGGCCAATAAAGAATTCTATTCTATTTAATAAGGATAAAATTATTTTTGTCACTGAAGACTTTGTCACAATAGCATCTGGGGTTATCCTGATGATGACAGAAATGTGGAGGCTGTTATATAGTGGGCAGATTTGAATAACCTGGTTCTTTTATGTGACAACATATTACCAGCTTTATTTAACAGTGAAAGATACCGCAGGGGATATAACCCAGACTTAATATTTGTGAGTAATCATACAATCCAGCAAAGTGACAAAGTAGTCTGCCCACCTATCCCAAATTCCTAGCCCCCACCAATTATGTGTCATGTTATTGCTGTAGTTTGACCTCAAGAGTATCCCATTTAGACATAAAAGTAAAAAAGCTAAAGTTAAAAAAGGTGACTAGCCTAAATTTCAGACACTACTGGGCAGTGCTGTTACTCCGTTAATACTTAAACCAAGCTATTACAGCAAATTTGAGGAGGCTGTTAAAAAATGTTCCCAGTTATCAATCCCTCGGGGCTGCAAAACCAATTATATCCAAGGCCCTTCAACAGAAACAAAGAGTAAATTGCAGAAGTATATTACTCTTTTTGAGGCTGATCCTATGGCAGAAGACACAGTGAATGCAGGACAGCAGTTAATTACTTCTATAGATGAAGCTAAGAGAGAAAGCTGGATTAAAATAATGGAGGAACTGGACATGAGCACAAGTAGCCACAACTAGACACAACAACAGCTTTTTCCCAAACGCCATCACTCTGCTAAACAAATAATTCCCTCAACACTGTCCAACTATTTACTAAGTCTGCATTACTATCACTATTAATCTTCTCATCACTCCTATCACACATCCCCTCCCACTTGTGACTGTATAATTGTAACTTGTTGCTTGTACCCTTATGATTTATATTGACTATTTCCCAGTATGATTTGATTGCTTGTTGTACTCTATGACTAACATTAAGTGTTATACCTAATGATTCTTGATGAATGTATCTTTTCTTTTTATGCACACCGAGAGCATTTGCACCAAGACAAATTCCTTGTGTGTCTAATCACACACTTGGCCAATAAAGAATGCATTCATTCATTCATCATACATTCATTCATTGAAGAATTTGAAGAATTTGAAAGCAGAGTGTGCCTATGGAAAGATACTAAGAATCAATCCTGAATGGAACCAACAGAGGAGCTGGCAACTGGGTCTGACAAAAGCTGGGAAGTATGGAAATGGTTGAACAGACTGCACACAGGTACACGAAGATTCAGAGACACTCTGAACAAATGAGGTTATGTGATGGTTTATACTCTTTGCAATTATGGTGACATGCAGACAATACGCCTACTTGTCCTCTGTGTCCCAATCAGTGTAGCAGGCAGGCATGACAGAATGGAATTAATATTGCTAGCTTTGGGGCAAGATCTGTTTAATTCATATATATTTTAATCTTGTATTTTATGTTTTACGTCGCGTATTATGCCTCATTCCAATGGTGATGTTTCTGAAATGAATAAACACCCGGCAATAGTGGGACAAAAATTGTGCTTCTCTCCTTGATCATAGTACCCTTCTGGACCAGTTTTGGGGATTGGAGAGGGTGGCAAAATATTGTGCTGATTCTCCTCTTTGGGGCTAGTTCCAAGCATGGTGATAAGGGAGCCGATGTCCAACCCACAGCCCTTGTTATGTGGGATGCTGTAGGCTTCAGTGCTCTCCCCTCTCCTATTTAACACCTACATGAAGCCACTGGGTTAGGTCTCCCGCTGGTTTAGTGTAAGCTATATATTTCCATCATGGAATCTCCAAGCAATGCCATGGAGGTCCTATCTGACCAATTGGAGGCGGGGGAAAGGGTCTGGATAGAGAACAATTTCAGCTCAACCCTAGGATTCTCCTGGTTCTGGGCCATCTCGTGTTCTGGATGAGATTGCACCACCTCAGGCAATTTTGCACTCAATTTGGGGTGCTCCTAGATTTCAACTCCTTTTCAAACAGCAGGCAACACGGCCAGGAGGTCCTTTGCTGGATTTCATGTTGCAGTGTTTTAAAGTCAATAGACAAAGGTCCAGAAGAAACACAATCTACATGTTATATATTTTAGACAATAGCAATTATATTACAGGTTTGGGACTGAAATGTTAGCATCTTATATTCCCACTGAAGATATACATTTTATTATAAAATGAATATGAATTAATATCAGATATAAAATCATAATTTAGGTAGCATTTCAAATAAAGTTTTGAAAAAGAACAGATTTTGTGCTCTGTACCAGAAACTGCCTACATGTATAAAGTTTCTATTGTATTTTCAGTGTATTGTACTTTTAGTGTAATACACTTATATGTTCATATCAACAGACGTAAATATTCTATTGAAATATGCAGTATTGGTAACTGATATAGCTTTAAATATGCAGATGCAATCAATTTCTCTTTGAATATCTAAACTAAAATGAATTCCAAACATACCTGCTCCTTGGAAGAAACATTGATTCTTTGATAAATACTGAACCAGACAGAAGAATATACCAACAGGTCCCAATATCATCAGGGCTGTTTAAAAAAATGAGAAAACTTTAGGTTATGTGGTTTTAAAAGAAGAAAAAGTAGATAAAAGTCATGAAAGAAAACATATACAACAGTGCTGCAATTCACATAAGTAACAGTGGTAAGTTAGTCTTAACTGATGAATATTTTCTAAATATATTTTTTCACTATGTCTTATCATATACATTTCTACAGGATAAACAATTTACTTATTTTCTTGTTTATTTTACTATTATATCCTGACAAATCATATACTCACAGCAGTTTATCAATAAAACCAAATACAAAATCCTTACAGCAACAAAATCGATAAAACATCTTTCCATCCTAACCTACTATCCATATTAGCAACCATAAATATTAAAATCACTGTTAATTAAACTCTCTGTGGAAAAGCCCTATTTTTGAATGTCTTCTAAAATGCCACCCAGAAGGGTGGCATTTTACATCGCCAATAGTAAACTGCTTCATATGGATGGAATACAAGCTTGCTCTATTCAGGACTCAGGACTCAGCATCCATATTCAGTGCACACATACTAGAGGGACTAGCTCTTCCAGAAGTAGGTATTCCTCAGTCATAAAAGGCTTTATGAGTAAAAACTAATACTTTGATCTGTATGTAGAAGTTCACTGCCAGCCAATCCAGTGCCCACAAAATCAGTAAATAAGGCAAGTTATTTGTCCATACTAAAACTCTAGTCTATAAACTAACTGGGCATAGGGCAAAACATTTTCAATTAAGGTACTTCAAATGGGCTAACTTGCACAAATGTGTCTAAAATCTAGGACCCATGACTCCCACAGAAATTTTATGACATAAACCTTCACCTAAAGCATTTAATGACATAATACACAGTATCATCAAACATTTCCTCTGGTCAACTTCTGATTTTTGATTGTGCTATACAGTTCAACATTGCTTACTTTCAAAGCAAATACATCTTTGAATATTGTATTAAATTTTTAAGAACTTTTCTAGTAAAGACAGTGTATTAGAAGCTCTACCACTATTGAAGGCATAGAGGAATCTGGTAAGGAAATATCTATGAAAACTGAACCAAGAGGTCATAGTTTCTATTCAGAGCATATCATTAAACGGAAAAAAAATCTAATTTATTTCCTTTAGGATCAAAAATATTGATAGATTACAGAGATCCTTAAAAGTTTGTGAACCCTTTTAAATGTTCAGTATTTTTGCATAAATATGCTCTGCAATATGACTTAGAAGACTACTTTTCATTCAAGCCTAACGTTTCAATTTGCATCTCATCTAACCACAGATTATTCTTCCAATAGTCTTCTGTCTTATCCATATGATCATCTGTAGACAGGAAGCAATGTTCCTTTTTTTTCAAGTAATGGCTTTCTCTTTGCAATTCTATTGTACATATCATTGTTCCATGTTCTCCCAATGGTAGTCTGATGAATATTGGCATTTGCTAATGCAAGAGAAGCTTTTAATTCTTTAGGCACCAGCAAGGTTTGAGACATTATGAAGCATTAATGCTATGCTCTTGGTTGATCAAACATTCATGGGGAGAGTAACACTGATGTTGAATTGATTCCATTTGTACACGATCTGCTAAACAGTTGATTAATGGAGTCCAAACACTTTAGATTCCAGCTGTGTAGTTTCATCACCTTCTGGTGAGCATCAACAACTGTTTTTCAGAGATCTTCAGACATCTCTTGTGTTGAAGCCATGACACACTTCCACAAACTTTAATTGGGAATACCTAGCATTCTATTTTAAAAAAATAAGGTAGGACCTCCCTCTCCCACACCCCTGATTATCATTCCATTGATTGAACATCTGACTCTAACTTCCTCTTCAAATGAACTGATAATATTAGTGGTCCACATACTTTTGCCACATACAAATATGTACCTTTAGATCATTTTCTTCAACAAATAAATGAATAAGTATAAAGGTTTTACACATTTGTTTATTTAGGCTATCTTATGTCCAATTTTAGGACCTGGTAGAGATCATATCACGTTTTAAGTCATATTTATGAAAAAATATTGAAAATTCAAACAGATTCACAAACTTTTAAGCACAACAGTACTTTTTGACAAGTGAGCTTTAGGACTAACCGGCAATGAAGTCAACAAATGATTTAAATATTTGTGCTTGAAATACATAGGATTGTAAATATCAAGTTTATGCTGCTCTGCCAAATAATCTGCAGAATAAACCACAAAATAATTCAACTGGCAAGTAAGACCAGAGAATGAAATTAAACTAGAACTAGTATTCTGAAACAGTTTAAATAAAAATGGTTAAATAAATTGTTAGCTAAATAAAAATTGTTTTTATTTCTAAGTCTCTAACTAAAGGTAATCATCGACTTAACCCCACAACTGAGTCCAACATTTCCATTTCTAAGCAAACTAATTGTTACGTGTGTTTTATGACCTTTCTTGCCATCATTGTTAAGTGAATCACTGCAATTGTTTAGCAACACAGTTGTTAAAGGAATCTGGCTTCACCATTGATTTTGCTTGTCAGAAAGTTACAAAAGGTAATCACATGATCCTGAAACTCTGCCACTGTCATAAATATACGTCAGCTGCCATGCATCCAAATGTTGATCATGGGAATGCTGCAACAGTTTTGAGTGTGAAAAATTGTCATAAGTCACATTTTTCATTGCCATTGTAACTTTGAATGGTCACTAAATGAATATCTGTAAGACAAGGACTATCTCTAATGTCATGAAACTGTTGGGAATTGTAGTAATGTGAAAACAACTCAGTTATGTATAAGAAACATAATTTCCCTCCCTCCCAAAAATTTTAGAATGATCACACATAATATAAGGAGTATATTTTTTAAAATATCTGATAGCATAAAATATAAAATACTTCTAAAACAAACTGCAACAAACAATATTACAACTGCTTTACACTATTTGTTTCAATTAGGAACATGGTTAAGAAATACATTTTTTTTCTCAGTACAGTTAAAGACAACACAATGCTATTTGAAAAAGTAACCAACCATGAATATGCAAGGTTCCCAAAAAGAAATAATATAAAATTAAAAACTCACTAGTATAAAACTTCATTGGCTTCATGCCGCTCATATCTCACAGTTTCACACATGATTCTGTAAAACAATTAAAAAGGCATTTTTAATGTGATATAAGAGTTTAGCTAATTATTGCTATTTAGCATTAATTTTCATGACTGTTTTAGCTATTAAGTTTCTTGTCCTCTCTACTTGTATTATTAAGGTCATATGGACCAGTTCAGGAGGAGCTAAACCTAAAGTCTATACAATATTATGTGTTCCTTTGCCTATATTCAAAGACTGTTAGATATCTGAATTATTTTCCTTTGTGATCTGCAATATTAGGTGAGGGAGACAAGACAAGAGGAAACGATCAGAAAACAGACAATTTCATCCATGTTTGGTCCTTTCTTATTCCCAATGTCAGTAACATTGCATTGTAATTGGTTTCCACATATATATCAAAACAGATGAACAGAATGTAGATACTGTGTTTATTATATTCTGTGATATTTCATTGTGCATAATTGCCAACATAATAGAAGATGCTATTTTACTGTAAATTAAATAACTCATTGAGTATTAAGAAATGGTCAACTGAGAGAAAACACAATGAATTCTGCTTTATGAAAACATTTAAAATAATTCACAAAGTAGTGAGAACAATATTATGCTATTTAGAAAGATCTTGACAACATTGTGCAGAAATATATTAAGAAGCGTATGAGAGAACCAGGGCAAAGTATTAATGAATCCTTTATTAATATCATCAGAAAAGATACTCCAGGAAAGAGTGTTTACATGCAGATATCTACATGACACGCTTGATTGTGAGGTGAAGCTCCTTCAAGAGATATCTACAGAAGCCGACTTCTTAGAGACATTCTACATACACAACAGAAATAATTTCTAATGATTTGCTAATGAAGAATTCTAGGTGGAAGCATTTTTTTCGTAAAAACATTATCACCAAATAGTAAGCTAAGCAGAATAATTGCCATTGTTGTATATATCTTCAATTAAACTAATTAGAATAGTAAAATATACCAGAAATTGAAAACCATGATTACTTTCTAAAAATTGTGTCTATCCTTTAATGTCAATATTTGAAATAGTTAATAGTAAAGGATAGGCACATTTAGTGTCCAGAGTATATATTTTTCTTAATAAACCTACATTTAGATGAAATATAACTTCTCAGGTGTGATAATTCCAATTAAAAGTAAAACTGGTAGCATTCCTAAATGAAAATTGCCAAGTTGAAAAATGGAGGCACCATCACTTCCATTTGGTTGCAGATACAGTGCTTGATTTTTCCTCAGCTTTTCTACAGCAATTGTCATAGTTAAATACAGTCATTTCTAACTTCCAGAAGTCACCTTTGGCATTTCATAATGATAATTAGCAAAATGTAGTTGCAATGCTGTGAGAAATCTGATGGATACACATTCCTCTCCCTCATAACTTACTCATAATTGTCTAACGGAGAACCATATTTTATCAAATAAGAGAGACAGAGATTTAGATGAAGTTACACCCTCTTTGAATGGACAGATTCACATCCTCCCTAATCTAGTTCTGCCACTTGAAATTTAGATATCATTGGGGGCTAATTTGGATTAAGCAACACTCGTTTACCAGCTGCAACATCTTGAATAGGAAGTCTGCTCACAATCATTTGCGTTATTATCCTTCAACCTTATTAGTTCGCGAGACTGCATTTAAAGTTAGTTCAGAGGCTAAATTTGATGCAAATCATATCTGAACATATTTAATAAAACCTTGTTCCTGAAGCCTGTTCCAAGTAAGGTTAGGTTAAAGTGCCAGATTATTTTTTAAACCTTATAATGCTTGCAGCATGTAACCTTAAGGATTGCTTTCCTTCAACATGCCTGAAAAATCGTCTATTGACCCCTTTCTCTAAGTCTCTAAGAACTCAACAACATTTTTCCAAATAAGTACCAGAGGCATATTTATAACTAATAAATGAAGATAATAATAATGAATAGCTATAGAAATAACTCTTAAGACTTATATACTGCTTCATGATGCTCTACAGACCTCTCCAAGTGGTTTAACAGAGTCAGCATATTGCCCCCAACAATCTGGGTCCTCATTTTACAAAACTCAGAAGGCTGAGTCAACCTTGAGCCAGTCAGGATTATATAGGATAATTAAACCTAATTAAATATAATACTGCACATTTATTTAAGTAATATGTTATCTTAAAAATACAGCAAGCCACCCACAAGAGCAGCCAAACAGAAGGTCATTCTCTTCCACTCTCATGGGTTGGCCAATTGACTATTTTTCAAGACTATGAACAGGATAATTTCAGATGGCAAGCCACATCTGGACTGCTGTTATAATTTAAAGTATGTGGCCATTAATAAGTAGGCTTGTTTGCTTGCAGAACTCTAGTGATTAAATGTTTCCCATAAGGCAGGGGTCTCCAACCTCCAGGCCATGGACTGGTACTGGTCCAGTCTGTTGGTAATTGAGGTGTAGAAGTGGCAGTTGAGCATGTAAAGAAGCTTCATTTGTGCATGCATGGAATCTAGGTTGTGCATGAGAAACCATCTCCACCCTACGACCACCGCTTCCACCATTGCTGGTCCATGGAGTCAGAAAGGTTGTGGACCACTGTCATAAGGATTTTGCCAAGCACTAATGCTACTTTCATCTAATGACAGATCATAAAAAATGTAAGCTCATCCAGGAACTTGGCTGAGCATTCTTTTGGTTTCTAATTTACTTTTACTGGAGTAACTTACACATATGTATAACATATGTGCACACACCAAAAAAATACTTATTCTTTCATTTGAAATTTTGAAATTTCATATACTTACAAATATTTCAATTGGAAATTTTGTGATAATTTTTTTAAAATTCCTCGATAAGGAAAAAGAAGACACTCTTAAATTAACTGTTAACTTTATTAAGATTTTAGAAGACATTTATATAAATAAAAATAATGATGGTCATGTTTTTCTCATTCATTGAAAACTGTGTAATAATTCATGATAGTCATGCAGAATAATAAGAGGTCAGTTTTATTTGAAAAATGAGAATTTGAAAGATGAGTATTACATGCACAGTTTCATCTAAATCATTATTTACTTCTGACTTGTGTTATTTTCCTTTAATATTAATTTTATCTATAATTAAAATAATTATATAAAAATGCAAAACAGTAATCAATTAAAGCAATACTTTGTAGCAAAATTGTATAGGCCTAAAAACAGAATGAAATACAATCAATTCAGCTTACCTGAGCTGATGTTCTCTTAAATTAGACAAAGCTTCCATTCCATGTAAATAAGAATATACTATCTCCAGATCCTGGAAAAAGAAGAGAACGAACATTTAATGGGAAAGTATGACAGATACAATAGTTCCTACTTGTATAATAAAAGGAACTCAAACCAAATAATTTGATTGTATACAGTGTGTTATTGACCTACCAAATGTGAACATTTCTTAATTCCATAACAGAAGATTTTTTCTGAGAAAACTGAATCCTTGGACATAATTTCAATTTTAATTAAATAATTAAATAATGCCCTTTCCGACAACACCTTCCTGATTACCCCCAGAATCAGGGGAAGAGGGGGAAAGGCACACAACAGGTCCTGGGGCCATGGGCAACACAGTGCATCCTTCTGCTCCTGGTGCTGGAAACTTCACAAAGAATCTTGGAAGATGAGTGTTCAATGGAGAGGCAAAGAGATCCAGAATTGGATGGCCAACCTGCTCCGAAAGCTCCTTGAACAGACTGGGATGCAGACGCCACTCTGACTGGTCGACTGTGGCCCTGCTGAGCCACCCTGCCTGCACATTTGAGACTCTTGAAATGTGCTTTGCCCGTATCAATGGGTGGTGTTTCTCTGCTCAAAGGAAAAGTTGGGTCTCTTCCTGCTGATTTATGTGGGCCTTGGTGGCTACATTGTCTGTGAGGAGGACATGCTGTCCCAAAACCTCCTGCTGGAAACTCCTGAGGGCCAAATAAGCCACCCTGAGTTCGAGCCAGTTTATATTGTGACGTAGCTGAGACTGAGTTGAAAACTGGGGACCGTCACTAGAGAGGCGTGTCCTCAGAATTCAACTCAGTCTGAAGAGCAATGAGACAAGAGACTACCCAACCTGGATTCTCCTGTTGACACCGTGGCGAAAGTAAAGTAATTACTAAATACCAATCATTATAAGTAACTCATCAATATCCATAAAACTAAAAGGACTAAATCCAAGATTCTGTGAATGCACAACTGGGGAAAGGGTAGGCACTTCTGTTATCTTTTAATAATTCTTGAAATTAAACTATTATTCAAGCCAGTGCATTGACAGGGTAATTGAATACCATACTAAATCTTCAGAAGATGTACTTAGTTGTATTTAGGTTTACCAACTTGGACAATATTGTGATGTGTAGGCTTCAACTTCCAGAATTTTCAGCTAATACAGCTAATAACTCTGGGAAATGAAATTCACATATCTCAATTGTTACCTAGGTTGGAAAATCTGATTTGTAATGGTATATGGGAATGACCTTAGAAGAAAAGCCACAGACTGGACAACCATCATGTAAAAGATATCTCAGAGCACAGAAATGAGGAGGAGGACATAGGAAATGTTTCAGAAGGGACCCTGCCTAGTTTTCTGGAAAGTAAAAGGAAAGTAGGGGAGATATACTTTCAATCTTACAAGATTCAGTTGAGGTAACCTTGCAATAAAGACAAAAATTGTGTTTCTTTACCTCAAAGAGCTAACAAATTTAGACTGTTTTATATAACTAATTCCCCATCAGACTTGTTTCTGAAAAGCATAAAACTGTAAACCACAATACTTTTAGGACTGTCATGATACTCAAGAATTGCTAATACTGGCACATTATTAACTGTTGTCTAAAAACAATATATTGACCTGGAAATGAGATAAGTAATCTTGATTTCTAGATCAGATTATTAGGTTAACTGTAAAAAAATTCCAGAAATTTATAAGGCTGCCCAACTCTGTAACAACTCTAGGTAATCTACAGCAAAAAAACAAAACAAAAACATTAAAAAAACAGAAGAAGAAAAGCATACGTTAAAAGACATTGTTAAAAGCATACGTATGGTATCCACTCTAACCCACAGCCTAGGGAAAGAGCTAGGTTTTCAAAACTCTTTTGAACATGGCCTGGGTGGGGGTCAGATACATTTCTTGACCAGAAATGGTGCTCTAGTCTGGAGGGCAAGTACAGCAACTAAGAACAATTCCTAGATGCCATCAGGTCATACTATTTAATGGATAGGACCTAGGGCATTGTCTAATTGTACAGTCCAGGCAGAAACCAAGAAAAAAGGATGGCACTTAAGATAACAGCAACAACAATAATAGTAATAGTAATAATATCAACAACAACAACAACAAATTTGCCATCAGTCAATTGCAGAAGGCAGCTTTAGTTGGAACAGCTTCCACCCTGCAACGATATCTGCAACACCATCAAACATCCGTATTTGCCTATCCCAGGTCCTTGGTAAGTACTCAATAGGTAGACAAAAATGCCGAACCCAGTCTGAACATCTGGCTGACTGTGTGATTATTATTATTATTATTATTATTATTATTATTATTATTATTAACAACAACAATAACAACAACAGTTTAGGAAGATACTTGGTTGAAACCTAGGATGCTGGCAGCAACCCGTATCAACCATCAGCGCCAATCAATGATATTTGTGATACATTTTTAAATGTTCGGTTGACTGAGTTTCATGTTTAATGAATAAAAGAGATAACAACAACTGACAACATCAAGCATATTGAAGTGAAGAAAAGGATTTAGAGGTGAATACATCAAGAGACTGAAGAAGATCTTAAAGTCCAAACTCAATGGAAAAATGCCATCAAGGCAATCAACACCTGGCAAATACCAGTCATTAGATACACAGCTGGAAGAGTGAACTGGACTCAAGAAGAACTAAAAGAAATGGATAGGAAGACCAGAAAAATAATGACATCATGCCCTTCATCCTTGCAGTGACATTGACAGACTATGTACCAAGACAAAAAGGTGGGCGTGAAATGTTACAAGTACATCAGATGGTTGAAGAAGAAAAATGGCTTTGGAAGAATATCTGAAGATGCACTGAAGTTAGTAAATCAGGAAGGCTTACTAACTATTGGAAAGACCAAACTGGCCTACAAGAAAGACCAAATGAAGAACAGACAAAGCACTAAATGGCCAGTACATTTAAAAAAAATAGCAGGGAAAACAGATAATAACAAGACCTGGCAATGGCTAAGAGAAAGAAAGTTGAAGATAGAGACTAAGGGACTAATACCGGCTGCACAAAACCAAGCCTTAAGGACAAATGTATATAAAGCCAGAATTGAGAAGACAGCAACATATAGTAAGTGCCATCTATGCACAGAAGCTGAAGAAACAGTGGACCCACCTGGTAAGCTGCTGCAAGAAGATTGCACCGACCGACTACAAGCAGCGGCATGACAAAATAGCAGCAATGTGCACTGGTAGATCCGCAAGAAATATCATTTGCCTGCAAAAGCAAGAACTGGTGGGGCCAGAAAATAGAGAAAGTCATAGAAAATGAGGATGTTAAATTGCTCTGGGAATTCAAACAGTCAGGCACCTGCCACACAACGCCCCAGACTTAACAATTGTTGATAAGAAAGACAAAAAAGACTGGATAGTGAATGTGGCCTGGAGACAGCAGAAGAGAAGAGAAAGAATTGGAGTAGATAACAAAATACAAAGACCTACAAATAGAAATAAGAATGACGGTGGCAAAGGCAAGCAAGGGTAGTACCAATAGTAATAGGATCCTTGGGTACAATCCCAAAACAACTGGAGCACACTTGAACACCATAGGCATTGACAAATTCTCCACCAGTCAATTGCAGAAGGCAGCTTTACTTGGAATAGCTTCCATCCTGCAGTGATATCTGTAACATCATCAAACATACAGATCTGCCTAACCCAGGTCCTTGGTTTAGGACTCAATAGGTAGACAAAAATGCCAAACCCAGTCTTGAACACCTGGCTTGACTGTGATGATGATGATGATGATAATAATAATAACAACAACAATAATAATAATAATAAATATCAGTATTACTTTTATGTTTGTGTCCTTGATTTAGTAAGATTTAGAAACTAAAGATTTATTATTATTTAAAATTAATATATCTGAATATTTACAAAAATGTAAACAAACATTTCAATTCCACAAGATGGCAGTCTCAGCCACCTTTAGCTTCTGAAAGATTGATAAAACTAAGAATCTCCTATAAGATAAATATAATGATTCAAGACAGATTAATTCAGTGAAACCAAGTTGGATTAACTTTATGAATTAATTCAAATCGCATTAATGATATAAACGAATGGTTTGAATTTAAACTGATGGTACATTTATTATAACCAACACTTATATTAGCTATGAAATTAGCTATGAAACTTTTTTTCTGCATATATTCTACTTCAGTTATTGTTCAACTTTAAAATGCTACAACCAGTATATTATTTGCTGTAAATAATGTCATATATTATTTCAGGTAGTCCTTGCTTAATAAAGGTAATGGGTCTGCCAAGACTGCCATCACTAAGGGATGCAGTCGCATAATGTACACCTTACAACCACATTACTTAGAAATTCAAGCCCAATTACCATCATTAACCAAAGGTTACTCGTAACCTTTCTCCTCCATGCTGCATCGAGAGCCCAGGATGGACTGACTCCTTCCTATGATGTCATAGCTGAGTCTGTACTAAGATATAAAAGCCAGCCCCCGGGAGAGACCCCGGCTTTTGACTCAGCTCCTTTCAGCCAGTAGCAGTGTCTCTGAGAGCACTCACCAGCGATCTTCAGTACCTTTTTCCTCGCTTCAAGCAGCTCCCAGGGCAGCTGCTCTTCCAGGAGAGCAGGGCTCTCTCTCTCTCTCTTTCCTGCAAGTTGGGAGCAGCTTTACAGAGCTCTCTGCAGGCAAGCTGGGCAGCGTCTGCAGACCTCCCCCATGCCTGCAGTTTGGACGGATCGTAAACACAATCGGCAAACTGATAAGAGCTCCAGCCAGCTGATCGTGTAGCTGGTTGCTGTGTTTTTCCCTTGCTGACTTCGCTCGGGGCTCTGTATAGCCTAAGGAGCGATTCTTCAATCTTGGAGCCTGTTTTCTTTTAGTCAGCGGCCATCTTGGATTCAAGACTTCCACCACGAGGTGAGCGGCTATTTTGTAAGCCCAGGGGCCATTTATACCCTAAGGGGCTTAATAGAAAAATTTCTAAACAGCTTCTTTCCAACGCAAGTGCCTTTATTTTACAAATGGAGCAAGATA